ATATGTTTTATTTTCCTCACATCTGTGCAAATAAAGCTTTTCTTAGAACACAGAATAGAATTGTCATGTACTTGTATGCAGCTATGAAAATGAGGTGATGTGTTAAGATAGGTATGGAGTCTATAAATGTAAGGCTGTACAGCTGCTCATGGGGCATTGGTGTAAATCAATTCAAGATGGCTGCTACAGAGTGGGTAATGGCCTGTGTGCACATACGTTCTTCCATGAAGACTTGCATTCTGTCATCCTGAACATTCAATAAATAACTATTCTGGCTAAATGCCCTTATGTATGAATAACATAATATGCTACATAATATTTAATGTGTCACTGAAAGGAAATGTTTGGGACAAAAATATGTGTTAAAAATGAGGGCAAACTGGATAATGAGTGACTAAAACATGGTGACTTAAAGGTATATAGCTCTAAATAATTCCACTCTGTTTCCTAATACTTTTCAAATGACATTGATTACTAAATCCTGCATTAGCTATTATGTTCTCTTTTTAGGACTAGCAAGCACATTACTCACCAATGATATGGAAACTGCCTGCCCTATAGCCCATCAGGGAGAATAGGTTAAGAGGGCATGGATCTTATGGACTTTAAGGAACAAAACAGATTACTGATCAACTCTAAACAAACAAATACATGAAGCATTTCATTTTGTTTTCAGAGATCACAAATAATTTCTAGACAATATCTTCATTTAGCTTTTGATAAGTTTGTAAATATGTCCTATAACTTAAAGAAAGAAACACTTAGGGAATTTTGAAGTGGAAAAAATTAAAGATGTGGAAAAGGTTGGAAATTTGCATTTATGCTTAAACTTTGATAAAAAACAAATACTTGAAAGTGCAGAACTGCAGGCAGACCCCCAAATAACTGTAATTCTGTCTCTGCTTATCCACTTATCTGGCATTTCCAGTCATAAAACATCCTCAGAGACATGTAGCTGACTACAGCTTATGACTTCAATAATCAGCCACCCCCTCTCTCCACCACCAACAGTGCCAGCAGCATCTGCAGGAGCTCCCCCACTTACTACCGCTGCGCTCCCACCGCTGCCACCCCCCCCCAGCCACTGGGGGCATGCACTGTTCTTGAGCACGGGGATACTGATACACGAGATGCTGGAGGCTGCTGGAGCACAGTAGACTCCAGCAGACTGAATTAATCAAGTCGGTTCTGATGTGCTGCAATTATAGTGTGTCGGAGTAGCCTTGCTGCTCATGTATAGGCCCCTAACAGATGTTACACTTAAGATGTGATTAACTGGTTAATCTTGTCTTATGTAGTGACCTAATTCAAGTAATTAATGGAGTGATGTGGTTAGTTCCTGTCATGCATTTATTGGACAGGAGTCCAATGGAAGACCTTTGGGACTTCCATGGCTCCAGAGGCTGTGTGTGCAGGGAGACAAGCTTATTTCTTCTTACTGGTACAGGGGAAGCCTGGGCAATATGCTGTGTTGAGATCTGATGCAGGATCCCACAATCACTTCTTCTGCCATGCATGTGTGGTCTGCTCTCTTGTAGCACATGAAGCCTTCACTTGTGTTAGTTTAGATAGTTGAGAAGCTGTGGGAGACTGGAGAGATGGGCATCTGTGGGAGACCAGAGAGTTGGAGAGAGCCGGGGAACAGCTAGGCAGACTTGGCAGCTCCTAGCCACACCCCTGCCCACTTTCCCAGCCCCAGTCCCATCTTTAAAAAAAAAAAAAAAAAAAGCCCTGCACTCACTGGCTGCTGCCAGCCCGGGGTGGGGGTGTGATCCCCGCTGCACCCCACTTTTCCCACGCTGCATGGGGGGCTCTGCCACAAGGCCCCAGAAGCCCCAACAGCTGCTACAGCAGCCAGTGAGTGCAAGGCTTTTTTTTTTTTCTTTTCAAAGAGCCGGGATGCTGGGGCCGAGCAGGGTAGCTATCACCAGGGCTCAGAGAGTGGGCAGGGATGGAAGCTCATGGCAGAGCCCCTCACACAGTGCAGGGATCAACCCCCCCCATCTGGCAGCAACTGGTGAGTGTGGGGCTTTTTTTTTTTTTTTTTTTAAGGGCCGGGGCTCTGGGGCTGGACAGGGCAGCCATTGGTGTTGGCTGAGAGAGGGGGTGGGGGTTGGGAGGCACTCAGGGGACTGGGTGAGCAGGCAGGGGATGCAGCCTCGCAGAGGACCCCCATGAGCCCTCCTCCAGCCTGCCTCCCGGCCCCCTGCTTACTGGCACGGAGTCCAGGTCCGCCTCCCTGCGATGGTGAGTGGGGACTGCCCAAATCTCCAAAGCTCTCCAAATCTTTTCGAAATTGATTCAGAGAGCTTTGAATTGATTTGGACCTTTTTATTGGTCTCCCGATTTGATTCGGATTTGGAGATTCAGCCGCCAAATCGGGCTGAATCTCCTCTGAATCGAATCAGCACCCGAAGCTTTGCACAGCCCTAATCCCCAGCTCTCCCTGGGTCTCTGTCCATCCAAGGCAGCAGAGTTTGGGAGGGTAGTTTGACCACAGGTGGGGAACTAGAAGAAATGCATTCTGGGATGCTGGAGTACTGTTAATTGCTCATATTGGCTTTATAGGCCAGACCGCAACACAAGCTGTGTAACACCAACTGAGGATACTCCTTGTCGAAAGAGGTGTAAGAAATCCAGAATGGACTTGGCACATCTTTTCTTGCCCTAATGCATGGATGCTTATGTCTTCAGTACATTTAATAAATGGGAAGGGTAATATCTAACTACACCCTTATTAGTTCCACCATGCTGTATGACAGTGTTGTCTTCCAAAAGACAGTGAGTTCCTGCCCGGTGCGCTTTTGCCAATAAACACACAGGGGTGAAGGATCCAACTTAATCTTTATTGTTCCAAGTCTGCACAGAATGGGGGTACTTGGCGATCGTTCACAAAGCAAGCACCCACCCAAACTAGTGGGCGTCAGCCTTATATAGTTTTCTCTCACCCTACACGCTGTGCAGTTACTATTGGTTGCTTCTCTTAGCCCATGCGCACATCACCTTAGCCACAGAACATGCCTGTACTTGCCTACGTGGCAGAACAAGCCCATACTTGCCTACGTGGCATCTTCTCTCAGCAAGCAATCTTTTCTTATCTTACATACACCACACCCCTCCCAGTGCCAGCAAACTGCTTTATGCATTTAGCTAGATAGAAACAGAAAAAGCGTACATCTTAGAAAAAGCGTACATCAACAGCATCCCTACATTTCCAACATATTGTATTTCAAATATTTCACAGCTGATGATTCTTCCTTTCCCAGGTTGAAAATATATCTCCCATTGTTTGAACTTGATTTCTAGCTGGCTGTATGTTAGAGGGAGAGTTTCTGCCTCACCATGGAAGAGCAAATAGAAAATATAGAGACTGATACAGATATGCCATATATATAATGAAGATGAATCAAGACTGACCTTTCTTCCTTTTAATGGAATAACAGCTAGAAGATTGGTATATATGAAAAATAAGAGAAGGTGGCATGTGGGAAGGACAAGTCTCTGTACAGAAAAGGCAGGAAGCACAGTGCTGGTGCTTCTAACCCATATGGGGTGGTGAACTAAGAAATGGTCTCTAAGTGATAGGCTTATGTGGGCCTGCTGCATATATTTGAAAAATATCCAATGGTGGGTGAGTGAATGTAATAGAGTTTTGGGCCTAGTGACCAGTGCTCTAGAGGTTTATGTGACTTTCAACTGTGAACTGTGGCATTTCACACTTATTCATTTTACTGTTAGTGTGTTTGAATAATTATTACAGGTACTAATTATTCATTTCCATACTATATTAGCTGGTTCAGGTGAGAATCCACAGTGCTTATGCTCATGTTTTAATATTATGTAGCAACCTTTAACTTAAAAATAGAAAGGATTTTTGCGTGTTTGCAAAAAGTTCATTCACTGCTAAAATGCAGCTACACTGGAAAAAAGGTGAGTGGTGGCTGTGCAAAACTAGAGAATAGCTCAGGATCCAACAAAGCTGGGCAGTAGCTCCCTCTTCCATCACGACACAAAGTTATTTTTGATTATTACTGTTGCCTTATGCGATAACATATTACCTGAGCAAAAACAAACTTTTAAATCAAGCCAAATCATTGTATTAGATCAGCTGTGAAAAGGCTTTCTTCCCCCCTCTCCCCTCCATTCCTGGCTTCTCCCTTTCTTGTGTCTACCTGATTAGGGGAACCTGTGAAACTGAACAGTCAGTCTGCAAGTGGTTGGTGCCAGCTCTTTGCAAATTGTCTAGGACAGGTCTCTTCATTTGTATTTCATTTTGTCTTTCTGTAGGTGACACATGTTGTTATTTAAATGAAGGCTTTTGAACTCAGATGTTTTTTCATGCAGATCTATACCACTTCCCAGCTGAACTGAAAACGTCAAAACTTTTTCTACAAAAGCAAGTAAAAAGGGCAATATTTTCTCTTTAGATGACTCAGGATTACTGGTGAGTTGGGATATTATTGGTTATGTCCTTTAAGAATATAAAAGGCACCCATAATGGTCAAGCATCACAATAACGTCTATATATAAATACTCCCCAACATATGATTAGAGCTGTATTATAGTTTTTAAAGAGCAGCTGAGATAGGAAAGTGCCAAGATATAGCACAATCATAACGTTTGCTGGAAGTATTTGGTCTGTGTAGGGCTGCTATGGGAGGGCATTCTGAAATGATAGATATTGTACCCTTTTTAAAAGTACCAGGCTCTAAGCATTTGACAGTACTCCATCATATCCTGATACATCATATTCGTAGATACCATCTATGAACTGACTGCCCACAGGAGTTTTCCATCTATTGACTCCTCTGTGAAATCCTATGGAATATGAACTTTCATTTCTACCCAAGAGAACTTTTACAACCTTTTCTCTAATGCCTGAAGAAAAGTGTTTGTGCCCAAAAGCTTGCAATTAAAGAATCAGAGAAATAAATGGCACAGGTGATGCCAAATAGCAACATTATTAGCAATATCATCAAGGATGTATTAGACTCAATTACCTATCCAATTCAATAGGTGATCCTTCACATAATGCAAGGCAGCTAAGAATCTTGTGCACCTCTTGACCACGCTGTGTCTGATTTCTGGATGAAGAAAAGACTTCAGTCTCGAGTTGATCACTTAGCATTCTTGTGAAATGCCTAAAAATTCAAATATTTACTACAGTAAAATTACTCCTACATTCTAGGTTCAAGTTGTTACTACACAGATAAATCTATTTCATAAATAACATGCATTCAACCCTGTCATCAATTCAAAAAACCCTTGTGTATTATACAGGCTATTCCCAGCTCTTTAAATACATCTGACTCATAACAATGAGCTGGGCATCTTGATTTGTTTTGCAAACTAGTATATTCCTCCTTATATTTCACTTCTAACAGTTCCTTGCAAAGTTTTCATTTGACAGGAAAAGAACAGTGAGGGCATTAGGACCAAGAGAAAGACGCACACATTGCTCTGTATTATGTCTGGCAAAGTGCTTCCTGACTGAGTGCTGTACTTATGTGTGAAAGAAAGTCAGGGACCGAGTAGTTCTCATCTGTTGATCTCAGTTAACTTGAAGCGTCAAAAAGGGGGGAAGCTGTCAGATCTGCTTGCAAAGATAAGACATTTCACTCCAGCCCAGGCAGCAACTGGAAACTTTGCAGTGAAAGGAAATATTCTGGAAGGAAACTATAAAAATGGAATTTCTTTTTGTTTTTTTTATTAAGAAAAACCAAAGCTTAAACCATCTTTTAATGGGCTTTTTGGTCAACTAAACATATTCTTTTATAGACAATTTGGGATTCTGTATAATAAAGAATCGCCTTTATCTAACTGGATCTGTGTCCTCGATCATGAGTAGGCATTTTCTATTTTGTCTGCAAACATAGGGGAAAAGCATGAAACGACATCAGTGAAATGTGAGGGGGGGAAACCCTCTTGGCAGGTAGTAGCAGCCGGTTCTTTGCTGCAAAGAAACCTGAGAGCTTGGATATAAGAAACATCCAAGTGATATTTAACATGACCATCTGTATTGCTTTGTCACCAACAGTATGTTCTTGAGGAAGAGGTGCAGATATGGATCACGTAAGCTGCAGTTTCTCTTGTTGTTGCTGATGCTGGGTTTTTTGCTACTGATGGTTACAATGCTGAATCCACCACCCAGGGATCAGAACAAGGAGGGGACATCCCAACCAGTGAAGTTCACTCTCAGAGAAGGGTATCAGCTGGACTTCGCCGAGACCCAAGAGATGTTGGAGACTCAGGAGGAGAGACAGCAGTACTATCCCATGGAAGGGCTGTCACCTTTCATCTCCCTTCAGGAAGATGAACTGTTAGTGGCCATCGTGGCACCCACCATCAAAAGGAACCACAGCAGGACTAGGAAGGGATACCGAATGGTAAAGCAGCAGAATAAAAGGCACATGGAAAGGATTGAGGTCAAGCTAAAGGAAGACCCGGAGTCTCTTCCCCTGCAGGATGGAGACTGGGATGATGGGGGTGAGCAATTGCTTGGCCTGGAAATTCACGGTTTCAATGAAGCACTCAGTGAGCAGATCTCTCTGCATAGGGAGCTGCCTGAGGTACGACATCCTTTGTAAGTAAAATATCCTAATTAATCCCTTAAAAGAAACCCAATCCTTCCCTGTTGTTACCCTTAAAGAAGCCCTCCCTTGACCCCCCAAACCCTGATCCCTATTACATTGTCTCAATCAACTTGAGAGACCAGCCTCTTCTATACCACGTTCCTATAAGGCAAAATGTATTCTTCTCCCCAAAATCTTGTCCCTTTCACCACCTCCACGCAACAACCTCAGAGTCTGAAACAGGGTTATGCACTCTGATCAGCAAGACTTTTCCTAGTTAAAGCCAGCACACTCCTCCAGTCTCCTTAAATAACTTAGGGTAAAATAGTTTTCATTTCTTTCCATTATAACATCCATTAAACCCTCTGGGGATTTTAGGAGCACAGTAGATTATATAACAAGAGCCAGGAGAGATACCTGTCCTATTTCTCCCCTTTTTATGAGCTGTAATGATATGAATCTCAGTTTTCTTAAAATGATACTCTCAGGTTTAAGTTGTAAAAAGCAAGAAGCTTTGAGATTTTCCTCTTGAGAACTGTATGGCAGATCAAAGGACTGCAGGGAGTTACTAGGGGAGGGAAAAAAAAGAATGATTGGGTGTTCCAGTCCAAACAGGGGGAGAGGAACAAGTGCACAATGAACTAGCATACAAAAATTACATTATTTGCAGAATTTTCTCACTTTCTATGTGCCTCTTTTGATCATTTATTTTCATGGGTAGAGGAAACTGCCCTGTTTCACCCAGGTAGCCAACAAGATATGACACCAGATCTCAAAGTGTGATAGCACTTACTTATTGCCAACTTCATTTAATGAGGTCTATGGAGACCTCTGCTGGTGTATGTCAGAAAGGAAAAATGTGGCAGACAGCTGCTTTATTTAGCAGGTGCCATGCTCAGTCAGGATGTGTTGCTGCATGTGAGCTACAGGCGTGACCAGTGTGTCATGAATGTGAACCACAAAGATGAACTGGGCAGTCTGGTGGATGCAAATGGTATAGTTGTATTTGTGGCTGTTTATGTTTCTTTTGTTAAATGACCTTGTATACTTTGACTCGCGTACTTATTCCCCGTGTTCCACTCAGCTGAGCAGCCCTTTGTTTTCAAGGTTTTCCTGATGCACAATCTGCTCCGAGTTTTACTTGCTCAGTTTAGCCACATTCTTAATCATTTGGGGGCTGAAATAAGCTGAACAAGTTGGGCACAATTCTGTACTGAGCTATGCATGACCCTTGCAATTCTGTGTAGGATATTGCTTGGAGCAGGTTTTGTTTGGCGAATCTTAGTCCAAAAGTACTGAACCCCTTAATTATTGAATATTTTTAGTGTCTTCATTATGTCTAGGACAGCAGGGTTTGATCCCTATTCCTAGTGATATAAGGATATTGATTTGCTGCATGTTCACAGGCTCTCTTAGGGCATAAAGGGATAACATTTTTTATATTGCATCTTTTCAAGTTGTGCATTCCATATTGATCTTGCTAACTTTGCAAGGTGAGCAGAGAGTACAAAAAAATTTCTGGTCCTGCTTCTTATGCCACCTTTTGTGTTGTTTGTTTATATTATAAGATCTTCTTTCTGTGTTAAGCACTCTTGATGCTCTCAAAGGAGCACAGTGGCAGAGTGGTTAAGAGGTCTTCCGACAGCTCCAGAAACATGACTTCAAGCAGTGCTCTATATTTATGCTGATGGCAAGACCCAGTCAGCAAGCCAGTGAGACCCCGGTCATTCAAACTGGGAGTCAAGAGGGCCAGATGTTATCCTATATTGCCTATGGAAACCATCATATCTTAACTCTGCTAGCCCAATGGGCTACTGTTACACTGCTGGGACATGAGTGGTCAGACCCAATGGTAAGAGCTGCAGTTTGTGGGGGGTCACAACTAAGAAATGAGACAAGGAATTGTAATGCTGAACAGAGCACTGCCTTAGCCCCTTTGAGAATCTAGAACTCCTAGTTACACTCTACCTCACAACTTTCCCAGGAGACATGGAAGAACTATGCCCATTTTACAGATGGGTAGCTGAGGAACCAAGTCAACTATGGGCTTGCCTATGCCCCTGCAGTAGCAGGTCCTAGTAAGGACAGGGTTGAGCAAGCCTTTTGCACTCAACTCCACTGACATACTCAAGACCTGAAAGTTTGCAAGTGGTGCTCTCTTGGGCTTATCCCCAGCAGTTGCTCTTGAGTCCCTGGTCTCCAGCAGGCCTAAGAGTGGCTTCTGTGGACATAAGCCCATAGCAGCCTTATGTAAATGTACAGGTCTGGAGGGAATCAATTTGGTCAGGTGAGCAGGGTGTAGATGGGACATATTCAACCCCATCCTTGCCTGGACCCACTGCTGCAACTGTATGGAAAGTCCTATTGGGCCAGCTGAGAAAATTCAGTGATCTAGTTAATCTGTGCATCAAATTACTCCTTGTGCTAGATTCTGCCTGGTTCTTAAAACAGCTGTGCCATAGGAAGACAGAGTATATCAAGGGCCCTTCCTGCATGGTTCATTTAACTGAAATTCCTGAACTCCCTCCTACTGAAAGAATCATTCTGGGGACACATGACATCTGCAAATGGGCAGAGAAGGCAAGAGAGAATAGGTGGATCTATGCTGCTTCCAAGCTAGCTGACTACATTGGGAAGCGTAATGGCATAGAGCAGTTTGTCCGCCCCTGAGAAGTAACTTGGCTCTCTGAAGAAGATTCTCTCTCTGGTGCCACCCCAGCATGCCATCAAAGAATGAGCTCACCCTCAGCAAGCAATAAATCCACACAACAGTTTTAGGGTCAATTCCCATAGCCAGAGAGAGGTGTCAATCCTGAATGAAAGATAAAGAAGTATGGAGTTGTAACAGGGTCCCACTCCAGGGGTGTCTGTGATGCCCCTGGAGCTCTCTCAGCCCAGATCACCTTTATTTCCTTTGGGCAAGCTTCCCTTCCTCTCACCCGTCACACTTAGATGTAATTATGCTTTTAGAAAAAGGGAAGCTGCCCCAGGGCTCCTCCAGCAAGATCTCACGCTCATGAGCACAGATCTCTGTGCTCATTACATTAAGGGCTAATTATGTGGCCTCCTCATCTCCCCTTTTGGCCATGCCCAAGCCTCACAGATGTTATCAATCATTGGGCATTAAGCCCCATTGTCCAGTCCAGTCCCTCTCTCATCTATGGGCCTTCAGCCCCGTTGTCAACTCCAGTCAATGTGGGCTTCTAAACCAGGAATGGTCTCCACCACTGTTGGGACTTCCACCCCCAGTGCCTTTAACCATCCCTGCCCCTCTTGGGTTCAGGCCTCTACCTAGAATAATCTCTACCTCTCTAGGGCTTAGGCTCTCATTCTCTGCCCTTTTTGGGGCTTAGACCTTTGTCTCTTCCAACAGACTCCACCCCTCATGGGCTATGGGCTCTCTAGCCCTGCTTGTTCTCACCCTTTATGGGCTACAGGCTCCCTAGCTCTGCTTGTTCTCACCCCTTATGGGCTATGGGCTCCTTGTTCTTGCCCCTTGTGGCTACAGGCTCCCTGGCCCTGGTCCCAGTCTGATTCTCCCAGGTCAAGTCCAGTTTACTGCACCCCTTGTAGGCTACAGGCCCTCTGGCCCTAACTGACGTGGCACTACTCCTCTGCCTTGGCCCCTATTCCTCAGGCTCTAATCCCACTCCCGGGCCAGTTGAGACATCCACCACCCCTACAATCTCAGCCACTAAACCACTGGTCTTGCCTACCCCAGTTCAGATGTTAGTCAGGAGCTCTTTTCTCCATGGCTTTCAGGTCAGACTGCCTACCTAGCTCAGGCTCTGAGCTTATATCCTGCAAGCCCAGCCCCTTTTGGGTCACATGGCTCTCTTGACTGCCTCACAGCCTGTCTTCCCTTAAAATAGCGTGAGCACCAAGCTCCCTGCTACAGGGATATTTGCCAGAGTTACTAAGTAAGTTTGGAGACAAAAAGCTTTTTAAAATAAATTAATAAATGTCTGGAGTGTTGGAGTCATGCTGTAGCTATGGTGGTCCAGAACTTGTGTGGCAGACAAGGATTTCTTAGGGTGATATCTTTTATTGGAACAACCATGTAGTTGGTCAGCTTTTTATAACTTGATATATTATTCTACAAGTTACTATACTTCTGGCCAAGCTCTTTGGTTATGCAATGCTTAAATGAGGTAGTGTGACTTTATATTTTGCAGCCTCTGATGTGACACAAAAACTATTACTTCAAACAGACAACTTAACAACCAACCAGTATTAGCCATTGGGGGCTTCTATACACTTGCAGTGAGGCTGCTCCAAGGTGCTGTAATTCCAGCAAGTCGGAGCAGATTTGGTTAACTGAGTCTGCTAAAACATGGAAATTACCACACTTCAGCAGACTCCAGCGTCATGTGTATCAGCGTCCCCATGTTGAAAAATGACAGTGAGACGCTTTAAACTAAAGCTTGTTTGACAAGCTTTAGTTTAAAGTGTTCCACTACCATTTCAGTGCAGGGATGCTGATACATGTGACACTCTGGGCACTTTTAATTAGCATGGCTCTTGGAGCTGCGCTAATTAAAGTGTTGTCCCTCCTCACCTCCCAGAGCACATTTATAAATGCCCTGGTTGCCACTGTTAGCCAATCCTAAACAGAGTCAGATTCAAGCTGTGGTCCTAGAGTTCTGCAAGGAGTTCCTTGCCTGGCTACCTGCAGTCCTATGAGCCATCAATGACACAGCTCGAGACCCACATTAAAATCCCAGTTCTAAACAGTCCCAAACTTTAGGGGTATTTAGATCCAGATCAGAGCCTTGCTACATGAACCTACCTCTAGCCCATACCATTATTTCTACATAGACCATAGATTTTTCCATTACATAAATAAGCAGCTTCAGTTTAATTTCTAAGCCCAATTTATCTCTGTGCTAGTTCATCCATATGCTGGCATCATAACCACATTGATCTCAGTGGAGTTACTGTGATGTAAAAGTAAAGCAGCGATGTGAAACAGGGTGAATCAGGCCTTCCATATTTACAAACAAAATCAGCT